TAAATAACTTGTTGCCAGCTGAAAGATAATCGCCCATGCAGTAATTATCCAATAGGAGGCTCATACTTATTTGTGTCATGATGTAACAAAGTTTTGACCCAAAAATGCAGAAAAACCGAACAGAGAGTCCAGGGAAAAGGTTTAACGGGTTTTATTGAAGAAGTAAAACTGGAGGAGAAGTGTTGCTCTGAACACTGCTCAACTGGAACTGTAAAGTGAGGGGAAGACAAAGCGGTTAGTTCAGGCTCAGTGGGGAATCTGACTTGTGAAACTTGGGGAAGAGGTTTTGGTTGCCGACTCACGTTTCCAGTTAAGTTGTTGTATCCTTGACTCCTGTCTGTGTGCTGTGTTTCCAGTGTTCGTCTGATTCGGTTGAGGGCGGAACAGGTTTTACCCAGAATGCGGTTGATAGTTGGAGAACGGAGCTCAGTTGATCCTTCCAGGTGGTAAAGGTCCGAGAGATCCAGTTAGCAGGACAACTTCCTGCCAAGAGGCAAAGAGAAAAACAAAGTTAAAGTCAGGTTGACAAAAACTCAGCTTGACTCAGCAAACACAGCTTGGCTAGAGTACCCTAAACTGACAAACACTCTGGCGTCGAAGTAGTGGCAGTCAGCAGCTTAAGAACACTCTGTTTAACGAGGAAACCATCCGCAGGTGTGTGAGGAGGCAGACCAGAACCAGGCGCCTCCTGGTGAATGAAGGGCGACAAACACAGAAACACAAACACAAAGACAGGCAGTGTATTTTACATAAGCAACTGCTTTCAGATTTAATTAATCAGTCTGAAAGTAAATTACCTTCAGCTCTCTAAATATTTATAATTTGTTCTCTATTTAAAATCCATGCCAGAGTTTTAAAAGTAGAGGAGAATTGAAGTTGACTGAATACAGAGTATAGAAGCCTTAGCTTCTCGTCAAAAGGGATTTGGACTCTGTTCATCCTTGATTTTAGAAAAAAACATTTTATATAAACAGATAATTAAATCAGAGCTGATGTACTAAAAGCTAAGGTTTTCAACCTGCCTGAGATAAAGGCAAAAGAAACAATATATTCAAATGTCAGCAAAACAATTCAATGGAAATGTTCTGTGGTAACTTTATTAGTAATAAATGTGGTGATTCAGTATCTAATGTGACTGAGCTCAGGGCTTGTTCAGTATAAATGTCTGGTATTATTTAATATTATATTTTTATGGTGTTTATTTTACAGATCTGCTCTGAAAGAAAAGATAAAGGAAAATGAAGATCTCAAACAAAGGTTTGAAAACAGTCTGAAATGTTCCGTAGATAAAAAAAACAGTGGTAGTCTGGATTGGTAGTGTTTGTCAAGGTTATTTTATATCAAGTTACTGACTTACTAAATTTAATCATAAATATATGTGATATAAGTGTTTGCATAAAATAAGTCAGTTGTGTGTTGCCAAATACGGAATTGTAATCCTTTGTTTATCAGCTTGTTGTGTTTCATGTCCATAAATGCAATCACCTTTTATACAAACTAAAACAACTAATTAGTGACATCAAATCTTTCATGCTTTTCAATCTTTTCAAGGATCCAAGAGATGGTTACCCAACAGAAGCAACATCATTCAAGGTAAATAATTGCTTTGTATTTCTTTTTTATTCATGTTTATTGCAGGTCATTTTTATTAAAGATCCAACAGTTAATTGATCAGAAAAGATAAAAGAGATCTACTGACAGATCTGACTGAAACTAGTGTCAGCTCAGTCTGTAAGTGCTGCAATAATTTAATGAGAGATGCTCATTTTATTCCACAGACCTTCTCTGAAATTCAAGGAACAGGAAAGTGAAGCACTCAAACAAAAGTATGTTACATTCAGTGATGTGAAACATGAAATGAAAATGTTCTTCATTTGAGGAATAAGAAAATGTATTTCATGTGCTTTGTGTCAAAAGCTCCTTGATAAACAAGACACTTATTTAAAAATGTATGAATGTATTAAGAAACTATAAACTCAAAACTACTTTTTAACTGATTTTTCCACTCAGTGTAAGGCAGGTTTAATGCAGCTGCTACAACAAAGAGCTCTATATTATCTGATGTTCTTCATAAATTAGTCAAATGAATTTGAAGTTCTGCAAATATTTAATGCTATTTATTCCAAACTGAGCCTTAAGTGAACACATTTTTACTTTCGTAACGTAAATTATAATATCATGTAATCGCTTTTAAGTTGAGTGGTTGAAAAAGCCATGATGCGGCCAATAGGAAGAACTGTGTAGTTGCATTGCAGAGAAAGATCACTAAAGCAGGACAGCCATTCACTGATACTGTAGATAATGGAAATGGAAGATTGAGGTTTAGTTTTTTCACCCTTATCTTGGTTTGTTTATCATTTTTCCACCTGTGGTAGACTTTGAAAAAAAATACTTGTTAACTATGCAACTTTCTCAAAGCTAAGTCGCCAAAAAAAAAAAAAACAATTCTACAAAAAAAAAGAAAAAATCTATATTTGTGAATTTCATTAGAGCTTCTTACAGCTATAATAAGCTGAGTAATAATTGTCATATGTATTGTCAGGTCCAGTTGTGCACAGATAGCTGTTTCTGTATTTATTAACCAGCTCTTCCAACTTATGTAACAATCGTTAGACTATGGCTGATGTAACCAAGCTGCCTCAGTCGTATCCTACAATAATATTTGATATTGTTCGTTATCTATGTGTGATCTAATTGGTAAAATCTGTATAACTGTGTCTCTGCTAATTTAAAAAAGGATGCATGAGATGGAAGCACAGCTTCAAAGAACAAGGTAAATATATTTGTTTTTTGTCATTCATTTGAAAAAACTCTTACATCTTAAATTTTATATCTATACTATAACTGAAGATGTCCAGAATACATTTATAAATGCAATCAGCCTCATTAACCTTATTTCTATCAATGTATCTTTCAGTAAGTTTTAAACTATATATGACAGATATTGGGTTGACACTGTATAAACAATATTAAATGATATTTTAAATTCACATCTAATATAAACTCCAGACAATTTACATGTAAATGTTCTAATTTATATATCAAAATCGCTTCTAATTATCTCAAATGGAAATCAGTTAATTTTAGAGAAATCCAAAGATAAAGTCTATGTAAAATGTCAAACGAAGTAAGATTTGGCTGATAACACAATGTCAAATATCTTAGAAAGCTCAGACAAATGCACTGTATTATTGATTTTGCAGCATTTCCTCATCCTAACCAGACCATACTGTTTTATTTCTATTTAAATGAAGGTCTAAATAACAATGCTTATTTCAGTTTAGGTCACGCTATAGATGCTATCAATAGTTTAAGTAGGTGTTATGAGATTTTTAACAAAAGATTTTTCAAAGGCAGGTGTGATGGTCAAAATCTTTAAAACAGCAAGTTTTTACATTTTAAGTTTTTATAACTGTGGTCATTTGATGTGTGTTTTGATGTTTGAAAAAATACATTAAAATAGATAATATGTGTTACAAGTGATCGATTTTATTGCACAGGTCTGCTCTAAAAGAAAAAGATGAAGAACTAAAATCTTTTAAGGACAGGTACAGTACAAGTTTCCTTCTACTTCTTCCATAGTCAGACTGTCGGTTAAAACGATTTCCTCACTACAAAAATGTCATGTTAATTGATTTGTTAGACTTTTATATATTTAAATGTTTTTGTAATTTTTACAGAGTGGCAGGGGACGTTGCTCTGTCAATCAAAACAGGGAAAACCATGAGCCTTAACAACCCAGTAAATAAAACCAGGTTAAAGGAGATGTATGACTCCCTGAGATGCGACTGGCCAAAAATCAAAAACAGCTTAAAGTCAAACCAGACACATCCAGACTCTGCCAAAGAGCTGATTCTGGTACAGATCTGTTTTCATTAAATCCAAAATATAGATTTATAATATCTACAGCAAACTGCTTCCTCCTTTTTGTTCCAACTTGTCTCATTTTGTCTCCCAATACCAGAAAAGGTTCAGAGAGGCTAAAGAGGAAATGATACAAAGGAAAATGTTGGTAGATAAAGTATATGAAACAAATGTGAAAAATGCTCCAGGGGCACCACAAAAGGTAATGAAGTGTTCTTTAAATCCATCTTTTTGTTCCTGCTGTGTCTGAACTGAGCTTTGTTCTCTTAGGTTGATCAGTACCGACAGTTAACCATCCAGAACCTGCAGCTGACTCTCTACAATGAGAGACAAGGTGCTTCTTTACAGGTGAGTTTCACACCAAACGCAGACTTTTATCTGCTGCTCATGGGTTACTACTTTTTCATTCCAAATAAAAAAAATGTGTTTAATTACTCATTGTCCACAGAGAACCTTTCCTGGAGGAAATCCTCAGGAGGTGTGGGAGTATTTGGGCTCTGAATGTTATTGGCTTGGCTGCCTGATGGCTTTGAGCAACCCCCCTCTGCGGCCTGATTGGGAGAATCATCCTCCGTCAATGGATAAATGGGACTTACTCCCACGAAATATCACAACCGTCTCTTTAAATGAGTAAAAGGAAAGTGATCAAGAATCAATGCCTCTCCATACATCTACAAAGTTACAGAAATAAAGCATGTTCATCCAGGAGGGCAGTGGTTTCAGCTGAGTTTCCTTTGATAGAAGCGGTTTTACCAAAACGAATGTATAATCTGATTTAATTGCCTCTGAACTGTAGAAGTAAACAAAGTTAAATTGAAATCTTTTAGATTCTAGAAAGACAATGCTGATTCAGCTTAAATGTTTTGCTTTATAGTAAAAATAAATTGAATTAACTTGATTGAATCACTTGTTGTTCATAACCTGTATGGACAGGATTTATATGTGCAGCCAAGAGCCAGCAGAGTGTGAAGCAGCAGGGATGAATATCGGCTCCTTCAAGTCCAAAGCCATGGTTCTTGACCTGAAAAGGTTGGCTTGTTCTCTTCAGGTTGGAGAAGAGTTCCTGCCTCAAGTGGAGTTCAGGTTTCTTGGGATCCTAATCACGAGTGAGAGGAGAATGGAGCATTAAATCGATACACGGATCAGTGTGGCTGCTGCTATAACAGAGACGCTGCGCTTGTCTTTCATGTTGAAGAGAAAGCTGAGCAAAAAGCCCAAGCTCTCCATTTACTGGTCGGTATACGTTACTATCCTCACCTATGGTCCCCTAGTAGGAGGCCCAGGGGACGACCCAGGACACCATGGAGGGACTATGTCTCTCTGTGGGCCTGGGAGCCCCTCATGCTTCCCCCAGCAGAGCTGGAGGAGGGGAAACTCTGGGAGTCTCTGCTGAGACTCCTGTCGCAGTGACCCATTCCTGGATAAAGTGGAAGATGAGGAGTAAAAAATAAATTAATACAAATGTAATCTATTTGTAAAGAATTATTATACAAAGCATAAAATTATGACCTCTGTTCTACACATGGATTTGGAAGAAACAATGGTTACACAGGAGAAAAAAACTTTCAAAGCAAAACAAATTTTCAAGGCAAAGCATGTATTTAATTTATTTATACACATTATCAGAGCAGGGACATTAATATAACACATGTAGCTATTCCCTTTTGCTAGAAAGTGTTTTTAGCATATTTATTTTACATAAACTACTTTAGGTCTTTTTAGAGGTTCTTACTGACATGAACTCCCAGCTAAATAACTGGGATAACAGTAATTACAAAATATTAATATCTATAGCTGGATAATTATTAGTTACATTTGCTTCAGTAACTTTTTCTTAGAAATTTACTTTTAGGAGTAGTTTTACAGCATTTTACTTTTACTTGACTAAAACTATGATAAAGTACCAAACTTCTGGCTAATCCAACCACTGAGTACCTTCACTTAATTAAAACAAGCTTGTTCTAAACAAGCACCATTGAGTGACAACTTTAGTCTTTTTTGTATTCAAGGCTTATTGGTTAAATGTTGTTTTCCACCTGCCGTGTCATTTGGAGGTTGAGTGATAATACAGTAAACAGTCTATTCTGAATTAACCTATTACATACTGTAATAAAAGTTATAATACTTACTGAATCAATAATTAACTATTGATTCAGAAAGTATTATAACTACAAAAAAATTAAATCAGTTATCATGGGTAGAAGAAAGATTACAAAATACTTTTTTACCTTTACTTGAGTGATGTCTTTAAAGGATACTTAACACTTTTACTTGAGTAACAATAGGATCAAGTATTGCTATTCTTACTTAAGTATTTTTGGTACTCTACCCACCTCTGGTAATATCAAAAACTCCCCTCAACCTTTCAGTTGACAAATGTTGAGACTATAGTATTTAATAGACTACAGAACACAATGCAGTATAAAGTAATTAAAAATAAATCCACACTATCTAATACATTAAAATAATGAAGACACATCTGCATTTAAGAGTTTATTTATCACAATGTTAAACTTTCCTAGTAAACATTTATTTTATTTTGGTCTCTCCCAGAAGTTTAAAAAAAAAGCAGGAAGTCAGAAAGGATACAGCTGATAAATTCCTCTTAATATTGTGCTATAATGAAAATGAAATGTTTTATAACATTTCATTCAAGTCAAATACAGTGGATGATTCTGATTTTGAAAGTAGGTCTTTAGCTGATGCCTTCATTTCCATGTTTCCAAACTCAATCCTGAGCTTTGTCTCCCGACTGCGTCCACATCCAGTTTTTGGTGAAGTAAGAAATAAACAACCAACTTCCTCCACTCCATCTTCAGTCACATACTTTGGAAATTTCTTTTTTGTGCGATAGAAATAAAAGTTCATGATTATCTGATCTGCTTCTACTGGATAAAAGGTGAACTCTATGGTTTTATTCCTGCTAACTTGTTCACCAACTCTGCCTAGTTTGATGAAAAGGCCTCCACACCATTTACCATCTTTGTTGGTAAATGTCCTGTCTTCTCTGTGCTTTAACTCATCAAACCTTTCAGAGACACCAATTCCATAAGTGAAGGCACTTCTCAGACGAGAGATCCTTCCCCCGTATTTCCCTATCTCTGCAGCTCCGTTTAGGATTGCGTACTGGGGCATAAATGGACACAGAACTTCACAAATATCTATAAATTCTTCAGTAATGTGGTTCCTTAAAATTTCACTGTGAGCGTATTTTCCCACTAACATAATGCCACTAATGTTGAAATCTTTGTTTAAGATTTCTCTAAGATTGTGAGTGATGTCCTGCATGCTTTGGGCAAAAAAAGACCTCAGTTTCTGTTGAGAGATACTGATCGCTCCTTCATCCCAGGATGCTCCTTCTACTGTTTCAAAGAACTTCTCTATGCTCTGTCGCCTTTCAGCCAGCCTGATCAGGTTAAGTGAACAACTGATTTCTATATCTTTAAATCTTTTATTTAAAACATTTAAATTATAAAGAATCTTCTTAACCTCACTGGGATGCTTTCTTTCATATTCATCCCAGATTCCATCAGAGAATATTTCCCTCATGAACTCCATAAAGTTTCTCTCCACAGTTTTTTTCCTCAGGTCTTTATAAGAAGCTCTTTGCAGCTCTTTCAGTTCTCCTCCTTCCACGACTTCATATACAGCGATGTGGCTGATATCCTCTGTAACACACAAAGTAATCGACACAAGATAACTGTAACATTAAAGCTGTAACTGGGAGAAGTTCAAAGATCTTTTGTCTGTAAACATTAGGAGTATCTGTGCTCTAATTATATAACCTGTAGGTAATCATTCATCTCGGGAAATTTTTCTTATTAATTAAAGAATGTTCAGATTTGATGGCAAAACATTTAATGTATAAAGGAAAAATAAATGTTTTGAAAAGAGTGAAAAAACTAAATACCTTCGCAAAGCACAACAACGTATTGTGTCCCTGGAGATCGATCCATTCTGCCCTGTTCTCTGCTCTCTGTGATGAAACCATCACCTGGAAGCTTCATACACCAGGATAAAGCTGCTTCTGAACGCAATGCAATGACCAGTCGATCTATGTCTGTGACGATACCTGCCTAAAGAGAATGAATATTTATATACAATTATATATTTTTTCCTCCCTTCTTCTTATCAGTCTGTATCTGCTGCTTTTGGGAAGATATGTTATTGGAATCAGTGATTGAAAGAAAGTTTTGAAAAATATATTTAACCATTTAATGTAAATTTTACTTTTTAACATGATGTTACCTGAGATGCTGCTTCTCTAATGAACAGTTCAGCTGAATCATCCCAGTTGTCAGGAACAGTCAACACCCAGGTAAAGTCAGAGGCTGTTAACCTAACTTTTCCATGACTGTTAATGAATTTCAGAGCATCATCTTGCAGGAATCCCAGAGCCTCTGCAAAAACATCCAGAGCCTTCATTTCCCTTCCATCGGCTGCTTTAATTGTCAGGTCTCTGGTGAATTTCTAAAGATGATTAACAAGTTTATTAGTTCAATCATGTCAAAGTTTCAAGAACAAGTAAATTCACCAATTTCTAAAGATTTAAAAAAACACATTGCTTACATGTTTAAAAGATTTCATATTTTCTGTAATTTTCTGACAAGTTATGTAAAAAAAAAAGGCCAAATACAAGTTAAATGAGAATCACAACAGAGTTTAATTATTGAACCAAAGTTAGATTTTCTAACATGATAGAAGCTAACAAAGCAGATAATATATCAACAGGTAAATAAATCATTGTGTACATCAATACTTTAGTTATAAAACTGTATCTAAGCAAGAAAGTTATTTTAATATTAGAAAATTGAAATAAAATAAACTACAACAAAAGAAATTGATATATAAGCTTGCAATACAACAAACAAGACAAATATAAATAGAGCATACATTTGTGTAAGAATATCTATACAATTTGGTGGTGATAACATAAAACTTTTAACATCTTACTAGCCCTATAATCTGTAAAATATAGTTGGTTTAAAATAGCTTAAGAATCTAAAATGTTTGATTTTTGAAAAGTATTTTTACTCACTTTGTCATCCAGAGAAATCTCAGAAAAGTCAAAGAAAAACAATCTAGTGTCTCTGCTCTGACATAAGGAGGTTTCTATGGCTTCATATCCAAAGCTGACAAACTGTTGTTGTTCGTCAAACAGGATACAGGTAGGAGTGTCTCGGGTTTCTCGTCCAACTTCTTGATCCCAACATTTCCAATAGATTTCTGTCCTTTCTTGATTGGTTTCTATATCAATCCCATAGCTAGTGAATGCTGTTCCAAAGTCTATAGCGATAATGTATGAGCCCATTGTAGGGAGAGGTCCTGCAGGTTCTGTTGAAGAAAAGGATCAAGTAATGAGAGGTTGTTGTCCAGGTTAAATATTTACAAATAGTTTAACTGGGCGGAACTGACTGAAAGTCCACCCCTTCATAAAAGTGACATAACTGAGTTTTATGAATCTAATATTATTGACCCATTCCCTTTGAGCAAAAATGCAAAGCAGCAGAAAGTAAGACAACTGCAGGCCATCAATGTTTTCTAACAATTGCTGTAGAAAGAAACATTCCTGTACAGTTGCAGCTAAAGCCATACACTGTGCTTCACCAGTTGACAGTGCATCCGTAGGCTGTCTTTTGGTCTTCCATGAGACCGGTGAACCATTTTTATTTAGGCTAACACAGTAACCTGTAGTACTCGGTCTATCAGTTACATATTTTGCCCAATTCGCTTCATTATATGCATGAATCAAGTTTTCACCGTTTTTGTAACAGTTCTTTGTCTTGTGTCGTTCTTAGATGTCTTAAAACATGCTTGACATTGCTCCACTGTTCTGTGATAGGTCTTGTGAAATTCTGTGATAGTTTGCCGTGTATATATATATGATATATATATATATATATATATATATACAGTATATATCCTTCACCATCTTCACCATGGACAGGCTGCATCCATGTCCCCAGTTTCCTCGTTTTCCCACCACTTTGGTTAAAATTTGCCTTTTCCCCATTCTCTAGCCTTTTCTCTACCTCAAGATTCTTTTCCAAAGCATTTTAATGCCACTGTGAGTGATTTACCCGCTCACTAATTGGTGTTGTAAGCAGGCATTTCATGTCTTTCAGAAAAAAATTTGTTATTGGGGTAATGTTAAAGTTTTTGTTGATGTAACTTGTATTTTTTTGTTTGGTTCTTACCACTCTGTTTTTCTTTGAGGTTACCTAGTCAGGTGTTGCCATGGAAGCGCCCTGGTATTTCCAATCAGCCTCATAAGGGAAATCCATACTAACTGAGAAGGAGGAGAGATGTTTTGTGTTTTGTTTGGACTTGGAGTATTGTTTAGCTTCAATTTGTTTAAGTTAATTGTAAATGTGTGTTATGTATTTATTGTTTTTCCTCTAGAGGTTTAATTTAGTTCACTTCTTCACAAACAGAAAATGTAAATGTTAAAATTTCCACCCCTTAGAGATGGTACAGGCTGATAATTCAGAAAGCTGGGTTGTTTAAATGTGGGTGTGTTTTCTTCTCTGTGTTTTTTTTTTTCTGCAATGTTTGAAGAGAGTGGAATCCTTGCCTCTCTGCTTTGAAATGTAAGAAGTCATTTTTTTGCATATATATGTAAAAAAAAAACAGCATGTTTTTTTCCTCTTTTGGTGTGTTTTCTGGGCCTCATTGGCCATCTTAAGTCCACAAGGTTTCTGCATCTGTAGTGCATACCTTACAGCCACGATTAACAAATTTAATGAATTTTAATGCCAATTGAGGCCTTAATTTAAAAAATAATAATTCAATGACTTTTAATGATTTTTAATGACCCGCAGAAACCCTGATCATGTTCTACTCACCCATATTAGTTTTGTGTCATTTGGAGCTGTTCCAAAGATATTCAGTTTTGTTATAACCAAGTAACGTCTTCCTATGGGCAACGACTTGAAGGCACAAACTAAACTGTACATAATTTATTCTTTAAGGTACGCCAGCATAGATAACATGTAGGCGAATCACTGTCCCCCAGACATCTGTGGTTATATTTTTAATATGTATATGTTTTAAAAACAAAGCGGGTGTGTATGTGTATATCTGCATTCAAATAGAAAATAATAATCAACAGGCTTTTTCTTGTCACAGTGTTCCACAGCACCTGTTTAACCATGAAAAAGACTTTTCTGCACATGAATGTAGCATTTTCATTAGAAAATTTTCATGTAGCATGAGAGCAGCTAAATAACTGCTAACACCTTTTTATCACTGTTTAACAAAGTCCAAAGCATATCATTTTATAAGGACAATAATCAAACTGTCACTTATTATGTTTAAAATACACTTAGTGGACACAGAAACAAAGCTTCATACCTTTTCCCATGGAATCCAAGAGAAAGAGCGCAAGGAGAGCGTGGCAAAACCCTTCACAGACTACAATGGTATGATCCGTTGATTTGTCTTTTTAAACCTCAAACTAACACTCAAAGCAGCAATCCATGAACTCAATATGTTCCACATTGAAGATAATATTTTACATTTTCATTGGCAACACATTAGATTTACATAAAAATAATAATTTTGAAACATGAAATTATCCGCTGTTTTGAAATAAATCTGTCATCTTTTCAAAATAAAAGCTGCCGGTGCTCATAAAATTCTCAACAGGTGTTATGCCCAAAAATGCATGCCTGCCGAGATATATATCCCCAGTCGCAGGAGCGCGTATCGCTCTGTTCAACTGCATGTCGACGAAGAAAACTGATAAAAGTATGACCAATGGAGCTTAGGTTCTTATATTAATTATATAAAAACGTTTAAATATACCTCTCGTGGGGAAAAAATGTGGTTATTTGGCAGATTCATTTACAAAAATACGTATTTTTTAAATAACATTAATTCCAAAGACTTTGACCGAGGTACGGCTGATTTACTTGTTTTGGTCTCTTGTTATTTACACACAACAATAAACCGAGGTAGCCGGTGAGTTTTGAAATTGCAAAGCTTTCTCTTAAGGGTAAAATCAAATGCTCATCTACACAGCATGGTGTTCACAGACCAGTGTGATGCATTGGTCAGCGTCAAATAGCTATGGTGCATTCAGGAGCATGGGATATTTCAAACTTACAAGGAAAGACGCATAAAACGGAAACAAATATAACTCATACAATAATTTATTTATCCAGAAAAAGTGTGGGCTTTCCTACAATACTGAATGCTCTATAATATTATTTCTGTTTTTAACCAAGTTTCCTGAACACATATAACATCTGGAGCTTTTTCTAGTTCATGTACATATTTTTTTTTAATTCTTGATCATTTACTATGATACTTCTAGCATTCCATTGAAGTTTGTGACTTTGATGCGCTTGGACCTCTTTCATGTCTAGGAACCGTCCTGCTGCTTCTACAATTGTTTTGATTTTATCACTTTTCTTTTTCATTTGCACTGTAACATTAATGATGTGACAAATAAATGCCACAAAGTTATCTTTTTTCTCCAACATTATATTTTCATCTACATTACATTTATGTTTGCATGCATAGCATTCATCTGTTGAATTGATGTTTTGATTCTGTTTTCTTTGTGAGTCGTTGTTTTCCTGATTTAACTCTCTTTGACATGTTTCTTTATTTAAGTCATTTTTACTTTCTTTTCTAACTTTCTTTAATGCCTCAGCATATGAAACCTCTGTTATTTTTATTCTTTGTGCTTGTCTTGCCTCCCTCTGTACTATGCATCCCCCACAGTTAAAACATTTAACTTTGGCATCTTTATCACACTTTCCATATTCATGTGAACCTCCATACCTTGCACACCTAGTTTTCCCTTTGCACGCCTTAGCTACATGACCCATTGTTTGACAAACAAAACATCTTATTGGGTTGGGAATGTACTCTCTCACCCTGAAGTTTATATAGCCAATCTGCACAGATGCTTCTCCTTCTTCTCCTCTTCTTCTATGCAGATTTTATTTGACGGTTGGCAAACAACTGTAGGCGTGCATTACCTCCAGCACGAATATGGAGTGTGGACTGAAACAATAATAAAAAAAAAAATCTAAAATTCTTTCAAGTTATTTTAAGAAATCTATCAAAATTTTAGGTCTTTAAAACTTTCATTTAAGATAGATTGCTTATCAGTTGAGTTCTTTCAACACTATATTTCTGAAAATGATAAATGTTAGTTTTATCTTCCCTGCAATAATCACATTTACCTGTATCATGTTTCCCTATAATGAGCAAACTCCTATTTAATCCTGTGTGCTCAAATCTAAGAGGTGTTATATTTCTTTTCTCCTGTTCCTGTCAGCCCTCCTCATTTCTCCCACTCTTCAATGAATCCTATAAAACCATCTGCCTTTATTTCTTCTATTGTTTTTGCCACCTTTCTCTCATTGTAGGAGCTATTTCTCCATTTTTATTTAAATCTTAGAATTTGGATTATTTAGTTTGATTTGTTATTTAGAATAAGGTTTTGTTTAGCGATTCAGTTAGTTAATTTTAGCTTGGGATGTGGGTGTTTCACAGTATAAATAGGTAGGTCTTAGGTGGCTCATTATCAGAGATGGGAAGTAACGAAGTACAAATACTTCGTTACTGTACTCAAGTAGATTTTTCTGATATTTTTACTTTACTTTACTACTTATTTTTATGGCGACTTTTTACTTCTACTCCTTACATTTTTACACAAATATCTGTACTTTCTACTCCTTACATTATAAAAAATTGTCTCGTTACTTTAGTTTTGAATCATTTCAATAGAGTTACCGTTATTATTTTTCACGTCATCAATACTGTGAAAACGGAGCCGTTTTCCCCCTCTGTTCCCAAAGTGTAGCCGCCGTCTATCACACACAGCGTCACATCCTTCACTACATTTCCCAGCATGCACCACAGACCGGCCATCATGGCGGCGGCAGTTCCAAACAATTCACCCGGTAATTTACACTAGTTCCGAAATTACAACGTCGCCTTTCATTCAACACTTTACTTACTCACCAGCGTAGCAAACTCTGAAGGTACCCACTGCGACAGCTTTAATATACATTCCGTAGTCGGCGATAAAACTTCCCAGTCAATTTACACATTCTCTTCCCTTACACATTCTCTTCCCTTTCCACACGGACCAGTATGGTCCGCATCGGAGCCAGTCTCTTATCCATTGTCCCAGGTTATTGGAAAAGACTATTAGGGGGCAGGGGTGTTAAGTGGGATTTCAATGTATGGAATAATTGTTTGCATGGTAATTAGTAGGTGAAATGGTAATGTTAGTATGGTTAAATTATTTCATAAATATGTATGTTTTTGTATGAATGATGCTATTGTCTGTATTTATTTTTCTAC